TTCCTCGCCTTCCTCCACTTTCTTGGGTTCTGCTGCCTGAGGTATTCACTGAGCACGCTGTCAGTTGGGGCCATCTTCGTGATGTATTCTTGGATGTTCCTTGTCTAATCCTGGACTGTGGTGCTGACACTCACCAGTCCCCGGCCCCTTCCTTCCGCTTAGCATACAGCCTCAGGGTGCTGGACTTGGGGTGAAACCCTCCATGCATGGTAAGGAGCTTTCTTGTCTTTATGTCAGTGGCTTCTATCTCCTCCTTTTGCCAGCCTATTACCCCAGCAGGGTACCTGATCATGGCCAGGGCGTACGTGTTGATCGCCCGGATCTTGTTCTTACCGTTCAGCTGACTCCTCAGGACTTGCCTGACCCTAGCGGCCTCTTCATGGTTCCCATTCGTCTGCGGATCCCCAGGTACTTGTAACTGTCCTCTATGTCTGCAATGTTGCCTTCTGGTAGTTTGATCCCCTCCATTCTGACTACCTTCCCTCTCTTTGTTACCATCCGACTACACTTCTCCAGCTCGAACGACATTCCGATATCATTGCTGTATATCCTGGTGGTGTGGATCAATGAATTGATCTCTCATTCACTCTTGGCATACAGCTTGATGTCATCCATGTACAGGAGGTGGCTGACAACTGCTCCATTCCGTAGTCTGTATCCATAGCCAGTCTTGTCAATTATCTCACTGGGGGGTTAAGGCCTATGCAGAACAGTAGTGGGGACCAAGGTTATTACCGTTAACGAAAACTAACGAAATAACAAAACTAGAAGTGAAAAAACATTTTCGTTAACGGAAATAAAAATAAAAACAAAAAAAGGAAAACTAACTAAAACTGTAATGAATGTTCACAAAACTAACTAAAATTAACTGAATTTATAGCAAAAATGTGTTTAGTTTTCGTAGATGTGTGTATGTCATACAATAGTCAAGGGTTAAAATGAAGTTTAGTTTTCAGATTTTTTTCTTGCTGTCTAATTATGCCAGCAGGTGGCAAGTACGTTAGTCGAGTCGTCTGTGTTACTGCTCTGTCCACGCGCAGAATCATGTCAGGAAAAGTGAGGAGAAAGCACCAGAGTCCAATTTGGGATTACTTTGAATATGACTGTGTTTTGGATAAAGCAAGTGTCTTGTAGTGGAAAGAGACAAATTATGAGGGACATTTCTAAAGGGAAAAAAATCCCACAAAGTGCACTTGAAAAGCTCACACAAGAAGGCTAACCTAGCTTACCTTGAGAAGGTAAGGGAGCACACTCAACCCTCATCCCCAGAAACAGATGCTAACCCAGGCAAGGCAGCGTGATGCATCCCGAGACAACAGGACTGGGATATCTACATAACTGTGTGAGTCAATTGCCTTCAAAAAGTTTATCAATTCACTTGAACCAAAATTATGAACACCCGGTGCTGCAAGAGTTAATAGTCTCATTGGGGCCAAGATATACATTTTAAAGTTGCCTGGTATCAATGGTTGTTCATCTGCCCTTATTTATTTATTATTTAAAGAACCCATAGGTGGGAATGTGAGTTGTCTGTCTCTGCGTGTTAGCCCTGCGACAGACAGGCGACCTGTCCAGGGTGCAGGGTATGGTAGCTGGAATAGCAACATACCCAAGGATAAGCAGAAGAGAATGACTGATATGATGAAACTGGGATTTTGTTACACTTAATTATTGCAAACACAACTAAAACTAACTGAAACTAATCAAAACTAAACTGAAACTCAGATTTTCAAAAAAATAAAAACTAAACTAAATTGGCAAACAATTGGTAAATACTAATTAAAACTGATATAAAATTGAAAATCTGAAGTAAAAAATAAATAAAAATAAAAACTAATGAAAATTGCAAAACTAGTAAAACCCTGGTGGGGACAGAGCATCTCCTTGGTAGATCCCGCACTTGATAGTGACTTGTGCTATGGGCTTGAGGTTGGCCTCCAGTGTTGTCCGCCACATCCCCATTGAGTTCCTGAATGAAGGCTCTCAGGGTCCTGTTGATCTTATATAGTTCTAGGCATTCCAGGATCAGGTGTGGGGCATTGAGTCATAGGCCTTCTTGTAATCAATCCAGGCAGTGCACAGGTTGGTCAGTCTGGTCCTGCAGTCTCGGCTGACTGTTGGTCTGCCAGTAGCTGGTGTTTTGCGCCTCTGGTATTCTTGCCCATCCCTTTCTGTGCCCCGCTCACGTATTGACCCATGTGCCCTGTTCATCTTCTATGAGTCTGTGGTGGCCAGTGCGATCCTCTATGCTGTTGCATGCTGGGGAGCAGCTGAGGGTCGCAGATCCAACAGACTTAATAAACTGATCCGTAAGGCCAGCAATGTTGTGGGGATGGAGCTGGACTCCCTCAGTGGTGTCGGAGAGGCGGATGCTGTCAGATAAGACAATGTTGGATAACACTCCACCCACTCCATGACATGTTGCAGTCACAGGAGCTCGTTCAGTGAGAGACTGAGATTACCGAAAAGCACACTGAACGACACAGAAATCATTCCTGCCTGCATCTCCCTGTACAACGCATCCACTTAACACACTGTTTGCTGCTACAACTACACATGTTTCTTTCCAAATATTTTTTATAAGTGACTTATGTATGTATGTATGTATATATATGTATATATTGTACTATTCTTAGTTAGCGTATGTCTGTCTTGTCTTAATGTTGGTTTAAAATGGAGCACTGTAACAAAAATAATTTCCCCAGGGATCAATAAAGTATTCTGATTCTGATTCTGATTCTGATCTTAGCCATATGATGCCTGACAGGAGCTTCCACGTGTATATGTTCCTTCGTCTTGTCGTGTCATTGATGTTGTTACGCCATACTGTTCCAGTCAGCCAGGTTAGTCACTATTCAGTTCAGTCAGTCCTCCATTTCATGTCTGTTTATCTGCTCATCATAATAAACTCTAGCTTTCACCTATCTGAGTCCAGCGTTTGGGTCTCTTTCCTCGATCCACACACGATACAAGCCCTGACAATATAATCTTGCTTATTATTATTATTATTATTTAATTTCCCCATCATAATCATTTTCAATAGAATATTTAGACAGATATTTACTAATGCACACTGGACAAAACAAAACAAAAAACAGGATCAAATGACCCCCTGTTTTGTGTGATACTGGGCTATATATATCAGGCTATTTGACCTAATGGATATTTTTCTGAATAATAGGATGACAACATAATACTCATAAATAATTACCAGGTTTATCACCATTCATCCACAAGTTTCTGTGTGGTCAGTGGTCCCTGGAAAAGAAAAGAAAAGGTAAAAGCTCATCTTTTGGTGCTGAAATACCTTCAATGATTTAACATTGGGGATTTATTTTGATCATGCTCAATCATCCAGGTAAGTAAATCTCCAAAAGTTGATTCTGTTCATCTGGACGTAGCGTCAATCAACTTTGGAGATAATATTTATTTTGTTTTTGACAGGTTTACAAGTACTGCAATTAAATGGGCAACTGGGAATATTACTGAAGTTGCCATTGCTGACCCTATAGTGTCTATACAAATTGTTATCAAGTCCTATCCACTTCATTAGCTCTATATTAAAAAATATTCCAACATTTCACTGTTCATACTGTTTTTTGCAATGTTCAATTAGAGCGATTATGTCTGATTTCCACGTGCACGTTTGTGCATGTCCTTAGTGAGATGATAATACATTTTTGATTCTTCACAAACCCTGTGAAGCAGTGCTTAAGTCACAACTAACAATCTAAAGATGAGCTTTAAGATAACACCCAATACTCCAGAGATCTGCCTGCTGTTCAAAATCACACCTATAAAGCCTTGAATGTTTTACCGGTAGTCACAGGCAGCACTAACATAAGTCAATAAAGATGACTGCTTTGTGTGTATGTGGTTTAGATATAATCTTTATTGTGCATTGAAGTGAATTAATGCTTTTTGCTCTATTGCCTTTGAGTATTTGAATTCCAGACTACAGGCAAAAATATTATAACATGTTATCATAAATGCATAATATATACACTGTGTAATGCTTAACCGCAGTGTACATGGACTCAGTTGTCCAGCATGAAGTTATCATGATTACAGTTTATGAATAAAATGTAATCATAAATTCAATGTTTTTTCCTCTTTTATGATTTTTTTGTTGTTATGTTCATTGGTGTGATGCTAAATTGAAATGCATAAATATTTCTCCCTAATAAACAATGAAGTGATGATGATTTCTGAGTTTTATAAGTAGCAAAAGCTAAGAAATGAACAACCAATACAACACATCTCTTTTTTACAGATTAATGTCTTTAATCTCTCCTCTGAGAGTGTTTTGCCTGCATTTCTTTTTGCAACTCTGAGTTACATGATCATACTTTTTTGCAACCTACTCTAATCCTCACCATTGTGCTGAATAAATCTCTGCATCAGCCAATGTACCTAATTCTGCTGAACCTTCCTATGTATGACCTTATAGGTTCATCAGCTCTCTTTCCACAGCTCATCAAAGAAATACTGAAGAACAGTGGGATAATGCAATACTCAGCTTGCGTTGCTCAAGCTTTCTTTATCCATATCTATGCAGCAGGCACTGTGTTCAATCTGAGTGCAATGGCATATGATAGATACATTGCCATATGTTACCCACTGCAGTACAGTACTGTGATGACTAATGCCCATATCATGAGAATAATCACCATTGTATGGATGAGTTGTTTAGTTTTAATTGCTGTGCTTTTTTTCTTACTTTTGCGCTTGCCTCGTTGTCGATCTGAAATGACTCACGTTTACTGTGATAATCCATCTCTGTTGACTTTGGTCTGTGCTGACACAACTATTAACAATATCTATGGCCTTTTGATAGTTGCTCTTTCACAATTAGTGGCTAATGGAATTGTTTTCTACACATATTCTGGATCCTCATAACTTGCTTTAGATCTAAACGATCAGATACAAAAGCCAAAGCTCTGCAGACATGTGCTACACATCTGATTGTTTTTCTCTTGTTGGAGTGTCTTGGGTCTTTTCACCATCATATCATATAGACTAAATAATGTTTCACCCCATTTCAGAAGATTTATGGGTTTGTCAACTTTAATTTTCCCCCAACACTGAATCCAATCATCTATGGTTTGAAAACAAAGGAAATTCCGAGAAAAGGTGTTGAACTTTTTAAAGAATAGGATGTTTTCATCTTAATGCACTCTTTCAAAAGAATCTGATGTAACATGCTGAAACATTGGACACTTTTCACCTTCATTGTCCTCCTGTTATGTGAAATTATATTGTATGTTATTGTTTACTCGGTCACGTCCTTTTCTAACCCTAACCCAAAAGCAGTGCACATAAAATTTCTGAAATCAAACAATTTTTGAAACAACAACACAAGCAATTAACATCTGATTAAAGACTGAAGGTAATATTTTTTTAGTGTGCATTGTTACTTTATCATTAATGTTTGTCATTATACCATTGTATAAAAAAATAAACGCATACTTGAAGTTAATTACAATGTTTTTGCTTTCTTATGTTGTATGACAATTTCTAAATAAATAAACAAACACTGTTTAGTAGGTACTACAGCAGTTGGAATAATTATAATCATTGATAATGATCATTTCTGATTTGTTTTAGAATTATGTGTCAAAAATGTAACTTAAACAGGTGTTCCCTGCAGATAAGATACTGCTTTATGCACTGATTATCATCAAACAAGTATTTACATTGTAATATGGTATTAAATTATTATTTATTATTATTATATTATTATTATTGTAGTCTACTTGCCAGATATCCTTCGGCATGATGCAAAAAGTGCTTGTATGAATGGTGAATGAGCATGTTCTATAAACGCTCATTAAATTTGGAAAAAACTACATTTATGTATTCGGAAATTAAAAAAGATGCAGAGCAAAATTATTAGTAAACATGTTGAAATAGAGCAAGTTTCGGATACAAAATTCTGGTTGGATAATAGATAACAAAATCTGCTGAAACCTCACATAAAGCATATACAAGCCAAACTGTCAAGAGCATTCCGTACTAAGTAAAGTTAAATATTTTTGCCTTCCAAATCACTCCGGTACTTATTGTTCACTATATTGCCATATTGGAATACTGTGTGGAAATTGGGGAAACATATAAAACTGCACTTCAACCAATATGTAAAATTAAAAAAAAAGCATCAGGATGATTAATAAAGCAGGATTAGAGACCATACTAACATCAGTTTTTGAAATTAAAAATACTGAAGTTTAGGATCTTATAAAATATAAAACTGCAAAAATATGTACAAGCCAATACAATGTTACCAGGAAATATACGAGGATGTTCTATGACAGAGAAGGAGACTATGAATTAGGGAAATTGAATCTAAGGATTCTTAAAGCACGGTCAAAGGTTAAAACCTTTTGTGTCACTATTTATGGGGTAAAACTGTGGAAAGTTTACTATAGATCTACAGCAATCCAGGAATTAGTAAGTTCATGAAAATACTTCGAAAACTGATTTTGGAAGAATATGAACCGATAAAGATGATCACCCATTGTATAAAATATCAAATTATATCCAAATTATATCAATCACGGTAGCCAAGTTTATAAGTTCTCCTCGGTATCGTGTGGAGTATGTGTGATGGGAATTAGGTGAATTATGTGGATCAATAAGATGTTGAGCAGGGTAGGAATTAATAAGTAGTCATACTTCTCTACTCCTTTTCAGACCAAACATTGTTACATATGTCAGACGATTGTTTTATCATTATATATTTTTGTTTATCTGAACACATACGTGTGTGTGTGTATCTACATATATATTCGTATCTGTAATGAAATATATGTAGTGTGTATATATTGTTTTTGTTTATATGTCTGAAACAAATAAAGATACAATACAATACAATACAATACAATACATAAGAACTATTCCCTTTTACAGTATTAAAAAGATCAAATTTACTCATTGAGCATTTTCATGTTTAGCACCAAAATATCACCATTTATCTTATACATAACTGCAGGTAATGATACTACTGTATAAAATAGGAGAATAGGGAAATGTATTTAAGACTCAGAAAGAGTAGACTTTAATTAAAAAGTCTAATCTTTATGCTCTTATTCCATATTATAGTACTTAAAGTCTAGAATAAAAAGCAAACTTAGTTTTTGGTGTTCTATAGGTCAGCTGTGTGTGTCGTTTCGATATAACTAACTTGAATCTGCATTGTATTTAAGCATTTATGAAGTCATTCCAAAGGAAATTGAAATCAGTGTAAATTTATTGTGATTGTCTAAACCTGATCTGTACATAAGTGAAGTCTAAGAAATGTGTGGTTCAGTGCTTAAAACATAAACATAAATACACATAAAATAAGAGTGATGTCTGTAACTGTTGTATACATCGCAGATTAAAATTACTTCTTCATATGCGGACAATATAGAATATAGTCTGACTACACCAGAGGCGCCAGCATACAATCTGAATTCATATCGACATTAAAACTGAAACTGTATGGACTTCATTTCATTCAGCAGTGTACATCTCTCTTTCATTTGTGTAATCTGCAGCCCTCTAGTGTCTTTGAAGGCACATTAAATGTCTCACAGGACATTACATCTAGTATGGTCTGATTAAACACACACACACACACACACACACCACACACACACAAATTACAGTTCAATATTCCATTTCACTATTGCTTATTTATCAACTGCTATCCTCAATTTTTGTAGAATTACACTTGTTACTCAACTCTAGCTTCTTAAATGTTTGAACACACTTGGCAAATAAATGTGATTTGTTTAAGAATAATTATGTTTTCCATGAGTTTAATACTTTTAGGCTGCTTGATATTAAATCTATCAATAAATAATAATTAAATACAATTTGTACTACAGAAACATTGTGTATTACATTCTCATTACCTTAAAAAACTCACAGACTTAACTACAAAAAAAACCCCAGACTTGTTCAAAATATGACAAAATATGCTTAAGCAGATCTGAAAATGTTCCTGTTATTTATGACCTCAGTCACATATACTTGTCTCCACATTGTGGTAAAACCTGATAATGCACACCTTGATATCATGGCTAGACTAAGACTAAGACAAAGAGTATCTACATAGTCACTTTCTATTATAAAGAAACATTTCATAGAAAATTCTTTAATTTCCATTTTTACTATCTGTAATATTCACTAAAGCAACAAATAAATAATGTGTGGATGAGGAAGTTCTGTTATGAGGTAACTAGCCTTCCTGTCATGGTCGGGTCAAATCTGACCGATTTACAAATTTAAAAATTCATAAATATTGTGTTTTACATCCGATTGCCTTGAGGCCTTACTACATCCTCCATATTATGCACTTGAACATATAAAAGTGATGAGCACCTCTTTATGAATTTTGAGTGTTTTAATCAACTTTGTTACATCTGTGGTGTTCCCGGTTAAAGCCAGACCACCATAGGAAATGAATGGGAATCTAACAACATTTGACAACAGCTTTCCACTTTTTTGGGAAAAAATATCGACAAGTCGATGAACATCATTTACAGATATATTGGGTAAATGCCCAAGACATCTATAGAAATGTAAATCGCCGCTTGATTCATTCATTTGCTTAACTTGTTTTGGACCGTAAACAAGGCGTGAGTAGGACACCGGAAACAAAGCTCCCCACAGAGTTTCCGCACTGGAAGTAGCATATGCTAACGTGCACATAAGCTGTGTCCCAAAACGTCGGCTGCATCCTCCGGAGGCCGCATTTGAAGGCCGATTACGTCACAGCCAGCGACGAAGGCTGTCCCAATTCGTCGACTCCTTCAAATGCGCCCGACAAATGCGTCCTTCATTTCCCCGAATTTGAAGGATGGGTCGGGTGTGTCCTTCGTGGCCACCATATCCCAGAATTCATAGCGCGGGCCAGCCAAATTTCAGCTGCCAACAATGGCGGCCGCTACTAAGTTTTAAAATTACTCTTATTAATCTTTCTGGTCACAAAATAAACTTTTAACATATTTCAGGCGAGAAAGTAGCTGTGTAAACTTCAAATATCTGCTTGGTTTATCAAGACATCGCATATTTGCAAAAGTGTGCGACGTTTTCGGAGACGTCTGTTACCCACCCGCTCGATAGCAAGCGGGGGTACAATGGTCACTCCAGCCGGCGAGAGCAGCGGACTCCCGGCTTCATCGTTTCAGACCCCCGCTTTTTCGCTACTCAGGTTAAACATGATCTATAAGTCACTCGGATAACTTAAAAATGTAATTGTTTCCTTTTTCGGTGTTTTATTTGTTCCGGAGTAAATCGGTTTGCTGAGATCAAAGTTATTAGATTATATATTAAATAAAACTTTATTAATCCATCGGGTGGGTTCCTCCGGGATTTTCACACGGCTGAATAAACGTTAAACAGAAAACTGATTAAACAGAAGTGTGAGACGGTCGAGAATTTATGCCAGTCTCCTGTTATATTTTAGATAGCAAGGAGCGGACGGCCAAGTTTATTAAACTCCACCGACACAGCGGTGACGCTAATCTGAAGGCTAGACCGTCCCATTTCACAGCCTCGCACTTCCGGCCCTCTCGGTTTTTGAAGGACCCGGCCCACGTAGACCGCGAAGGCCGGGTCCGCCGAAGGATGCAGCTGACGTTTTGGAACACAGCTATAGTCTATTATTGCCAGCGTTGTGCCAAAAAAGTGTTCACCTGCCAAAACTGATTTCCAAAGTTTCTGTGTGTAATATGTGTAATATCTTTATGTATGTTGGTAATTAGACTTCGGTGAACATGGTTTACAAAGGAGTTTTATATATACAATAATTACCTGTTGTTCAAGTATCTTTATAACTCTGGTTATAATGTAAGCGCAATTGATATATTTGTTGCACTGTCTGCTGTCCACTTGACCAGATTACTCTTAAAAAATATTTTTTTTTTTTTTTTGTTATAATAAATTTCTATGTCAACAAGATTGTTTGTGAACTGGATAAATAAAGGATATATAAAAGTCACTGCCAAAAACTGATTGCAGCTTCTACTTGTTACAGGAATGTTGCTGGTGGCTCAAAGTGACTTGATATCATTAATGAGGGATACATTTGACATATGTTTCACGTATTATAGACCAACAAGTTATTCATAGCAGGCAGGTTAAATATGAGCAATCAGTTTAGGGCAAA